CAGGCCAGCGAAGAGATATAATCCCTCCATCTGGTTCTAGGTCTACCCCTTGGTCTCTTCCCAGCTGGACGTGCCTGGAACACCTCCCTAGGGAGGCGCCCAACTAGGTGCCCGAACCACCTACCCGAACAACCTCAACTGGCTCCTTTTGACGCGAAGGAGGAGCGGTTCAACTCCGAGTCCCTCGGATGACCGAACTTCTCACCTTATCCCTAAGGGAGACACCAGCCACCCTGCGGAGAAAACCCATCTCGGCCGCTTGTACCCGCGATCTCGTTCTTTCGGTCATGACCCATCCTTCATGACCATAGGTGAGGGTAGGAACGAAAATGGCGCAGTAGACAGAGAGCTTTGCCTTCTGGCTCAGCTCCCTTTTCGTCACAACGGTGCGGTAAAGAGACTGCAGTACCGCTCCCGCTGCTCCGATTCTCCGACCCATCTCACGCTCCATTGTCCCCTCACTCGAGAACAAGACCCCGAGATACTTGAACTCCTTCACTTGGGGTAAGGACTCATTACACTAACCACGGCAGCCAGTGTTCTACATAACCTTTCTGAACTAGAACACGTAGTCATTATGTTGTATTTGGAAGTTTGCTCTTTAATTTGGGAATTGTAATTTAGTTAGGAAGTGTGGTCTGGACATTCCAGTTATTCCATTGTTTATTACGTCTTCGGGACACGTTGGATTGAGGTTGGCTATTGCTATGACTAGGGAAATTGGAAGTGTACTATTGAGGGTCGAAGAGTCCTGCAGAGGAGACCGACACTGAGTCTGGAGGTAATAATGGTACCAGACACCTTACAAAGAAATCTAATTTCCCTTCATGGTAAATGGTAAAGTGTTCTGGAGTACTTCTGCTGTGGCTTACTCCTATGGGCCGGGCCTCCTTCAGCCCAGGGGAAGACCTCGGTCCGGGTCTTCCGTCCTGGCAGCGCTCGCAGACGACCCGCCGACGGTGCCTCGGGCCGGCCCGTGTCGAGGCATTTTCCGCTGCACCCGTTGTGGAGGCGAAGAGGCAGGGCGCCCGGGTGGTGGATGTCCTTTGTCGCACCCCGCCCACGCGACGGTCTTCCCACCGCACTCTTCCGTCTCCCAGAGCTCTGGTCTGGGCCCGCTGTCTTCGACCGAAACCCCTTCACCTTGCAGTGGAGAGACCTCCCTTCCTCAGCCTCGAACACGCCCTCCACCTCGCAATGGTCAACTCTAGACCAACCCCGAGTGGAGATGCCGTGTGTCGCGCCGAGACCCTTTGGAATGAAGACCTAATCCAACCTGAGATAAGAAGAGGCCTACACGAGTTCCACACTTGCGAACAGCGACACACACACACACCGGCTATGAGGTGTTCAGGGCCACCCACGAAGCAACAAACCTCAGATGGGGTCACCTGCTCTCCCAACGAGGGATGGCGGACGCCAATACCCCCCTTTTGAGACTGACAACAAAAACCGAATACGGTGGGTTGTCGTCAAGTTCAATGCCGAAGAACCTCTGGGACCTTTCTAGGACATCCCGAGGACTTCCCCTGAGAAATTAGAACGACCCTCTGAGTTGCGTGTACACCCGTTACACCTCTGTGAACCTCCCCTCACTAACCCCTCCTTGCCGGGGGGACTAGACTTGGCCTCACCCACCAAAAATGCCTAAGACACGAATTCGTACCTAACCGGTATTGTTGTGGTAAGCTTGTATTCCTACAGAGTATTTCACATCACCAAATAGTCTCGTGGGATCAGGTCTTACCAGGTACTAGCTAAAGCAATAGATAGTAGCCTGGACTCCGCGCATTACAAACCTGTAGCCTCATTTCTCTCCCGCCCTCACAGTTGACTAGTGGTAAAGCCCCCACTCAACACAGCTCACCGCCCCCTTCGGAGACCTAGTCTGGACCATTCGGGTTTGCACATCAAGCCCACTTGACCCTGCAGACCTCCTACGGGGTTAAGTCCTCCGGAAGTTGAGTGGTGGAGCCGTCTCGAAAAGCCCGTAAGGACACCTCCAACCCCGTAACTTGGTCTCACCAGCCACAAGTTCGTAGATAACGGCTTCGGCGCCGCCCCTCGACACCAGAGTTCCAGGATCCACGGAGTTCCCCGCCTATTGGGAGCTTGGAGGACAACCTGTTGGCCACCAGTCCGCTTCGACAGGCTGACTTCTTCCTCCGGAAGTCCCCTAACAATAGGGGCCCCCTTGAGGGCTCGTCAGCGTTTTTTTTTTTGTTTTTTTTTATTTTTTTTTTTTTTAGCCATGGCTGTCGGGCTTCCCGTCGTCGGTAGTCGGCACCGGCTCGACCAAGGGGTGTAAAATTTTTCCCGCTAGTCTCCCACGACACGTTAATGTCTCCGTAGTGTGTGAGTCGGATGGGCCAGTTCAAATGAGATTCCATGAGCTTTCCTCCAGTCGGCTAAACAGCTTGGAGTCTACTCCTCCTTGTTTACGCTAAGGGCAGGACCAGCACCTTGCTGCCTAGTCGAAAAATGAGAGCGTCTCCTAGGACCTCCCCGGACCCTCATGCGAATAGGTCAGAGTACACAAAACATCTGAACCTCTTCTTCATACTGGCCCAAGGGTCCCTCAGTGACACCCTCCACGACGCCCTCATACCCAGCTCCCCGAATGGAGTCCGGTAGGTATAGAGACATGAGGTTTCGCTCTCGACCAGGCCCCAGGAGCCGTCATTCAGCCTGGTAAAGTCCACTCCCACTGGAGGCGGTCCGACACGAAACAGTGGTTAGGACAAACATTATATGTACCTAGCCTAAAGCTCCGCATCAGCAGCCCCTTCCCCACAGACGTCAAGCCACCGATCCTACGTGGTGACGAAAACGTTATACACCAAGACTACCGAAGTAGCCAGACGTGGAAGTCGTGAGTGACCTAGCCAAGCGTTGGCTCACACTTCGCCGACCCTACTCCTAGTCGTGGAGGTTTTAGACTCGGTACCAAGAGTCGTCCTTTTGGCTACCTGACAGGTGA